GAAGAGCGGATCTTGGCGCTGGAGGCTGACATGACCAAGTGGGAGCAGAAGTACGTAGAGGAGAGCGCCATCCGGCACTTCGCCATGAACGCTGCAGCCACTGCAGCAGCCGAGAGGTGAGTCCCGTGGAACTGTGCTGCTCGGGAAAACACAGCTGGAGAAACACGGAGTGTAAAACACAGAGTGTCCAGAGGGGTTCAGGGATGCATCCCAGGGAGTGAGAACCGTTAAAAATAATTATAAAGTGGCTGTAGTGCTAGTTGGAGAGCAAAGTGGTATGATGTTTCTGAGGTTGATTTTGGCAATATGTACCTCTCCTTTGGTTCCAAAATTCTAGTTCTCGACATTTATCTTAAGGAAATCATTATATTATATAAGTGCCTGAAGCTATATAAGTTTTTATCCCAGTGTGGTTGAAAACATCAATACATTTAAAATAGAGTAGAGCCCAACAAGAGGGATTCATTCAATAATTTCAACTCCATCCACACGGCGGAGTACTATGTGGTCTTTAAGAATGATGCTGGGAAAGTGTACTTTATGCTCTTTTAAACAGTGGGTATGTTTCATGGACCAGACAAGAATATGCAATCCTCATAACAGCCCTGAGAGTGGGAACTATTATTATCCTCATTTTGTAGGTGAAGAAATGAGGCTTAGAAAGATGCAGTAGTTTATTCCAGGTCACACTGGTAGTAAGTGTTGAAATTTGTCTGACTTAAAGACTGATTTCACTTGGTTTGCAGTCGTTTTCTGCTGCTGTCGGTTATTACCTCTGTTGCTTTATTTCCTTTGTTGCAGGCACACCGCCTTATTTTTTCTTTAAAAATTAGCTCGAAATGCTCGATAGTTCACAAAATAATCCCGTTAAGCTCTACCTTTGTCTGAATGAGCAGGTAGTTTCCCTTGACTGCTGGACCTCGCCTGACTTGCGTGGCTGTGCGTTCTACCAGCACTGCTTTTCACCCATAAGTTATTCAATATATTGAGCATTGAATTGTCCCTCTGCTGCAGACTGTAGGTGTGTGACTGCACCAGCCTTTCTGAGTGTCACTTTATTCAGAAATTACCCAGTTTCTGAAATGGAAATTATAATTCTTGACTGGTTATGAGCAGGAAACAAGACCGTATTCCCCTGGCTGAGGACACTAAAGCCCCAATAACAATGTAAGTGCGTTACCTTGGAAGCATGACCCAGGGCCTTTATGGGTCATTGTTGTCTCAGCTCTTTTGATTTATCAGATTAATGCATGCTTGGGGTCGTAGGACGAATGGGACTTGAATGTAAAAGAAGTAGGGGAATGAACTGGTCTGAGGCATGAGACTCCTGGTTGGGCACAGGATGGGGCTGGGGGGATGTCGTGAATAGAACCAGCCAGAGCGCACAGATGGTCAGCCCCACTCACACTGTGCTAGGCCCAGCCTTGGCCGTCATCCTTCGAGCAGGGGAAACACCTCTTGCCCTCAGAGAATAATCCTTTGCTCTCCTCTTCTGCTCTGTTTGAAGCCCTGGATGGATGGATGGATGGATGGATGGATGGATGGATGGATGGGGACCCTTTCCACCATCCCTGCCTTCCCCCATTCTTTGCTTCCACATGTATCTATTGAGCATCTAACAGTTCCATGGGGAACTACCCTCCCCTCTACCGACCACTGCTTCCCACAGTCTTGGGGAAAAATCAGTTCAGAGGAGGTCATGTTTTTAGCTCCAATCTTAATGTTCTTTTCAAAGAAGACCTCTATAGTTTAGCATTGCTTTTCTGTTGACAAAAAAAAAAGGGAGAAAAGGAAACTGAAGAATTTTTGAGAAAGGTCAAAATTCTAAGCTCTTACTGCCTAGATCTAAATGGCTACATAAAAATTGGTAAAAATGGCTATTTCCAGCCATTAGTTTTGTGACTTTTCAGCTACTGCTACATCCTTCATGTTTACAGGCAGTGTGATATTTGTATACCAACTGATTTTGCCATCTTGGTGCATTTTGGCACCACTGAGCAGAAGATTGAGAGGCTGGGCCTATTTTGTGTGGGTGGAGAAGCTTTTGAAACTTTTTGAGCATTTCAAAGTAATGTAATATTTTGCTGAGAGTTGTGTGTATTTACCTTTGAAGTCATTTTCGTCTAGTTGTACCTGCCGTCCTTGACAGTATAAACATGAATTTTTGAATTTGTCTCCAGCTCTACGTAAATTCTCCAAAAATAAATCAGTTGAAAATGTTTCTGGCCACTAATTCCTATATTGATGATTTTTGTGTACCATGCAGTGAATTTATAATTTTGTCAGTATTTTTCAAGCATTTTGCTGGTTTTCTGTGTTATTTGGCTCTCTGATTGGTTTTCAGTCAGTTTGCACTTAGCCACATTCTCACATGTGCCCTCTTCGTTGGTTTATTTCATCATTCATGTACCTTTTCTTTTTTTTTTTTTTTTTTTTGCGGTACGCGGGCCTCTCACTGTTGCGGCCTCTCCCGTTGCGGAGCACAGGCTCTGGATGCGCAGGCTCAGCGGCCGTGGCTCTCGGGCCCAGCCGCTCCGCGGCAAGTGGGATCTTCCCGGACCGGGGCACGAACCCGCGTCCCCTGCATCGGCAGGCGGACTCCCAACCACTGCGCCACCAGGGAAGCCCCATTCGTGTACCTTTGCTGAGGCCTTTTTCATGAAGATACAGGAGACTTGGGAGCGTAGAGTGATGGTTACGGGCATGGACTTTGGAGTCAGAGATATCTGGATTTGAATCCCTTTCCACCTTCACTAACTGGGTGTTCTTGCAAAGTCACCCATTTGTTCATCTGTGAAATGAGGATAGTAATGCCTCCTGCACAAGTTCCTGAGAGAACTAAATGAGATACCACGGGTAGCATGCTTCACGCAGGCCCGGGCATGAAGGAAACACTCGTTCATGGATAGCTGTTGTTAAAAGAGACAAAAGGAGGGCCCCCCTTTTTTTGCTTTTTTGGGTGTTCTAGAAAAGAGCTGTAAGATTTTAAATATGAATATGATTGTAACACTGGAATATGAAGTTAAAGGGATGTGAAATATTTGTCTGGATGATTTCTTACTAGTTTAAGATTCACTGATCAGAGACATTATTGGGCCTCTCAGCCTAAGACATACTTGGATCACTTAGATGGCGCAATTATCTTGTTTTTACCAGTCGTCATTAATGAGGAGTAATTAAATTGACAAAACCAGTGGCAGGAGGAACAGTTACCTTTGACCAGTGGTTTTCAGTCAGGCATCTGTTCCCGGCTACACGGCTTTGCAGTCTCCCTCTGTCTGTCCCTCCCCTCACTCTACCTCCTCGACTAGACTTTCCAAGGGCAGGGTGTGTGTCTTCTTCAACTCTGTGCCCTGCTGCCCAGCACGGTCGTCACTCTGAACGGAGCTAAATCCTAGGCAGGGGCTCACAAAAGTGGTGAGAGCTCGAATGCAAACGTGAAGCAGGCTTCAGCCGGAGCCTCGCTGTCAGCGAGGGCCAGTCTCCGTTTCAAGGATTTACTGAGTCCCATTTACTGTAACATACTTGAAATAGCTGCTATATGGGTGAGAAATAGAAATAAAACTTTAACTCTGATTGACAAAGTGAGAAAGGAGAAGTGAGTATGAAAGATTACAAGCATAGAAATACTAACCATTATGGTAATATCAGTATCCACATGTCAGTAGGTTAAGCCTGTAGATGTGCAGTAGTGTCCGTATTCAGAGCACGCCACATAGCTTAGAATTCAATGTCATTAGTAGAAGGGGCAGGGAATTTGGATTTGGGGGTTTTATTTTGTTTTCCTTAGATACTATCTTAGTTCTAGCAATTTAGGGAGAGAATTGGCCAGGATTTAGGAGAGGGCAAGGGGTGAAGGAGTCTGTGGAGAGATATTTTTAGTGTGGCACCCTTGGACCCCTCCCCACGAGCATCATTCTCTGTGTGTATCCTGTGTTGCCAGGGACACCACGATCATCAACCACTCGAGGAACGGCAGCTATGGCGAGAGCTCGCTGGAGGCCCACATCTGGCAGGAGGAGGGGGAAGTGATGCAGGCCACCAGGAGATGTCAGGACATGGAGTACACGTAAGGGACAGCTGTGCGCGGCCACCAGGCTCCACTCTGGGCGCTTCCCTCAAGACCCCAGTGGGGCCGCCAGCCTGATGTTTGCACTCACACTTCAGCCCTTTCCTGTTCTGAACAGCTTCAGGCTTGAGTTCTCCCTCCCACCCTGCCCCAGAGA